CCAACACAATTTCAGCACATATTGCTGATTGAGAGCGTGCAACACTTATACGCGCTGTCAATCCTGATTATGTTGCATAACATGGTTATTTTAAATAGATCAAAGGGAAAGGAAGTTTCTGATTTTTCAAAGAGAATATTTAATCAGTCGGTTTACAATGCCAGAACTGATCTATCTCATTAGCATGGCGAAGATTGTTTTTTCGGCTATCACCACTTTGCATCACGGTAACAGGTTTGCGCATGGTTTGGCTTATACGTAATATAACTAATCCAAACAGAGTGAATTGCAGGAATTCCCTCAACCTTATTGCAGCGCAACCAAGCAACATGCATAAAAAATATCATCTACCTGAGTCGACATATAGTACTGTGGAAAAAGACAAAGGCTTTTATGAGAAATTCTTCAACGAACTGTGATACTATGTGGTTTTACTATTCAGTGACTGGATTCTGATGTACTGCATTCCTTAAGGCATGTTTAAACTCTTTGGTCTCAATCATTTACCACACTCTCGTCTGTGACTCCCACCAGCTGAGGTATTCGTCATTAACCACAGATCTGAACAACAGCTAAACTGTAAAACTATGCGAGTTTCAATGTGATCGAGGTATAAACAAGTTATTTGAATGACTTGTGAATAATGAAGAGAGCTACGTCATAATGAACGTACCACATCGCCCAAACCTTAGAAAATAAAAAGCTGGGCAACTACAAGGTGTACGGATCCCTAAACTGGTTCCACAATCACTGAATCGTGAATTACCACTTGGGGAGCTACTTACAATCATGTTCCCGCACACTGGTGCTGTTGCCTTCCAATCCACACTTGATTAACCGAGGATAAAAGCCGGCTCACTCGGAGGGATGTTTCTTAGACCAACATTTCGTGAGACCTAATTAATTTTATGAGACCAAGTTACATTACATTAGCAGCCGATCAAAGCAAAATAAGTAACAGATATACTACAGCTTTACAGAGAGGAGGGCTACACAGTTGCTTATTTTTTAATTTCATCACGCAACGAAAAGCTTCATTGACGGTCCATATCTCGCTTGAGATAAAGTAACGCATCGTAGGTCTCGAATGACAATAAACCAAGAGAGATAAGTGTTTATGAAAACGGTAGTCATTTTGACCGCAATTTTCAATCACAAAATAGAAAATGCAGCCATAACAAAAATAAGGTCCATTAACCTCAATAGAAGTACATTGTATTCATTGTTTCATCAACTTACATATCACATCCCAGTATGCTCAACAAAGACAGTAATGAAACTGGCAATTAGGAATATCTTCCGTGCAGCTTTCCAAACCAGAAACATTGACCTTACGTGTTGGGGTGTCGAATCGCAAACAGTAAGAGATTAAATCGCTTACATTTTGCCAGTGATCACAAAAACCCTGGTTAAACTGGATTCAGAGAAGTAACACAAGTGTAGTCGTGAAGGATTTCGTTTTCGTTAGGAAATCTGCGTTTATCCCTGCGCGTGAGTGCAGAGCAACTTTACAACTATGCGGTATCATATAACTGATAACTTGTGTAATGGTCATCAGGCGTGTGTACACAGCTAACCGGAAGTGTATTTTTGAGAACCCGAATTCAACTGAATTAACGTGAGCTAAAACCGCTGCAATACATGCATGGTGCAGATATTTCACCACCGTCAAAGCAGTCGTGATGCGTTACTGGATTTCCTTTCGTTTACCCATTTGGTCAGAGACGTTCATTTGATTTTTTTTAATTGACAACCATCGTCTCATGAATCATTTAGATAAGTTTGACTACTAGCAAAAAGAAACTTTATGCCAAAATTTAGGCTTGACTGAACTGAAACAGCCATTCTCCAATCAAGTTGGTCCTGTGCTGTTATCCGTCTAGGATTCCTTATTTTGTCCGTTGAGTTCTTAGTTCTTTCAGTTTTGCAATCGATCAAGCGTGTAGATGCATAATGAGGACATCAGTGGTTTGTGTTCTGCCGAGACCATCAAACATTGGTTCCAAACTCGTAATTATTCCAAGAGCCTAAACACCAAACAAAATTCATATAAGAAAAATACCATTCCTCGTAAATCGTTTAATGCGTCTAACCTGTATTTACTGGGACTTGGCTGAACTGTTTGATCATGTAGATAAATGCTCAACGATTGAATATATTTTTTCGTCCTATATTTCCCTGCTTACGATATCCGCTGAGTAGCTCATGGCACTCCCTCTCTTTAAACGGACCGTACATCTGTCTGCTTTGTTATCGAGTTAGTTTGCGGAAAACTTAGTGTGTGACTCGGTGAACTGATATTCGGTTTCCGCGGTCTAATTCGTGCATAATGCATGACTTGTCCTAATAGCGACATCTTGTTCACTTGTTTTAAAAATTGAGATAACTCTTTTTAGCATCTCACCGATTACTGACATCTGTCAGTTATGGAATGGTTTAACTGCAATGTAACTCATAGCGACTCCCCCGGCCATTACCAAGAACAACTCAAGGCAAATAGACTGATCAATATCAATCTGCGCACAAAATGAATGCTTTGTACAATTGTCTAAAACTGCATTCTTTTGTCAGTTTTTTCTAACAGCAATGATATAACAAACGAACAATTTCCACTTCAAAATCAGCCAATCGAACAGGAAAAAATCCTAGGCATATTTGGGGGACGTTTTGGACACTTAAATATCGAGCAATAAAATCACTGATATTCTACCTTCACAAACCAGAGTCAAATGTTTTTCTCATAATTTTCGCTTATGTTTATATAACGATGGGCATTGTTTTCTTTTATTCGCAACTTCGGCCGAAAGGAAACCTAACATAATTCCTAAGTGGTATAATGTTCGAAGAAAAAAGCATCGTTGAAAGATTATTTAACTTTTTATCCGCATGCCACAATACAGAAAAGAATTAATGTCCAAATAACAGTATGTCCACTAAAAAGGTGTAGTGTTACCACACAGAAGGCATTTAGTTGAACAGTCAAACGTACCGATGGCTAATATATCCTCTTTTGCGTTCTTTATCTTCACTGAAATCAGCGTAAGTCATCTCCTTCGACACAGTAGCTGGAGGAGAATTCCAGAAGGTTATGGATATTATCGAAAATTGAAAGAGCGACCGGCTGAAGCCTTTACAAATTGGAAAAGCTTGCTTTATTATCTTCCTCAAAGAGGGTAGTTATTCTGCAGCTCCGGGTCTTCATCATTCTTTAGGATCCTCCTTAAACAGATCAATCCAGTTATGTGCACCGACAGATAACCGTGGGAATCCAGTGACCTGTTCACTATCTTCATAGCTGCTGAAACAACAACAATTATACCTTCTCAACTTCAGGGAGTAACTTCAAATGAATCCAACCAGTCGCATTCTGTTGTGAACTCCACAAAGTGATTGGTGCCTCAGTCTTCACCGGTCACCGATTTGATCGGGTCTATCTAAACCCCATCACATCGCAATAAACTGCCCTTTTTTTAAACAAAATAAACTACATTCCGAGTGAGCCACACCTTATAAGTTGCGTGACAATGGTACTGGGATACATTGAAAGCAATAAAAGTAATTCACTTGAATAGAAAGATTAACGTTGAACTCATTCACCAGCTGACAGAAACTAAATATTTGCACTGTACCCCCTCGGTTGACTAATCATTCTATCCACAATGAATCCTGTGGATATAGTTTAACAAAACGTTTGTCTTCGTTTGTACAAAAGAGGGATAAATATAGCGACTGGAGAGACAAGCATCCTTTTAGAATTGTACATCAACTTACCACGTGTANAAAGGCGTTATTTAAGGGAACCTGAGTGTCCATAAAGTTTACTCATAGAAACATTGTTGAATATGTGTTATCTGAGAAGAAAAGTGAACATCTTAAGATAAAACCAATGCTTGCTATCAGCTTTTTTATAAGTAGAACAGGCAAGCAGTTATAAGGCCTAAGTTTTTCCATAGATAAATAAATGCTTTTTGTGCACTTCGTTTTATACTTCTGCTCACAATGACGAACTATCGGTATTGAACCAATCATGAATCATCATTTTTTCTGTGTTAAAACAACCAATATGTACCCATTTTCACTATTTATGCAATACAATTTATTTTTATCCCGGGGGATTGGTAGATACATGAGCGCTTTTCGCCTTCGATCTATTTTTCCTTCACAAGACTG